CATAAATAATTACATATGAATCATTTCATATGAATCAGAATGTAAATTAAAGAACCAAAATTATTTCAGTTAGAAAATATGGAGGAAGTGGTGCGGATACAACGAAATTCATTGACAATGAGCCAAGCAGAAGTAAAAGATCTGCATCAAAAGCTGCAAGAAAAGGTAAATTGATCATTATATATACTGTTTTAAGCAATAAGCAGAAGAGATATTATGATACTATATGAGAATAGTTTTTGATTTAAAAATCATAATATCATTTTTAATTCAAAGTTTTAATTGTTTCGTAATTATTTAATATATCTTTTTCAATATATCTTGTGAATTAAATGACACGTTAATTAAATGCAAACACAGAAATTCTGCCCGTTTATCAAGAATAAAGGTTTAAGGTATGTATGATATTAGAATATTAAAAGAAATCTGTTTACAGATAGATAAACAAAGCCTTACAATCGCGCAACATGAGAGAGAGAAGAATGAATTGTTGAAGCAGGTTTGTCTCTTCTTTTCTGCTTAGTCATCGTGCTTAATTGTAATAAGATTTATTTTTTAACATTGTGCGGTGTATTGCAGAATGAACTTCAAATACAAACTATCGGGCATTTACAAAATGCTGTTGTTGAAGCTAAACGAAATTTGGATCAAATGGCTCATAAAACGATGAGTGATGTGAGTGAGCTGAGGCCAGCGATATCGTCTGCAGCCTTTAATCATAGAAATGTGCATGATGTTTGAATATGAATTATAAATAGTTAAATTGCTATATAGTTTTTTCGCGCTAATATGTATTTATTACAATTGTAAATATTGTCGATATATAAATGCTTATTAAAAATATAATTCACGAATATATGAATTATCACATGTTTCTTCGCCTTTAATTTACATTTATGTTGTGATATTGCGAATGTAAGAAGAATATGAGTGCCATGCATGACGTTTGCTCATTTAATTAAAACATTTAAAGCTTTTGTGATACCATATTTGAATATCCTGTTTACGAAGTGACAAGAGATTGTGGCATGTACAAGCGTAACATGCTGCTTGGATTAACAAGTTGGATGATCAAGTTGTAGCTGTTGCATTTTGCAGTTAACAAAATAATATGAACGACGTTCGTGCGTGAGTGTCCTCTACTTCTAAACTTGAAAAACATGGATTGTACGCGAAAAATGTATTATAAATATCCTTGCAGCTTGGTAAGAAGGATGAAACTATACGTCAACTAATGATGCGCATCGATGAAACGCAAGATCAATATAACGAATGTTTCACAGAGGTAAACCAAAATTATTTGTATTAACTAGAAATTATTTCTTGATTAATATATTTTTTCTAAGTATTGTTAATTTATATTTTTTATCTCTAAAGGCAACTAATCAAGACATACTGCTGGACTTACAACGAGATGCTATTGAAAGTCTGCATAAAAGGATTCGTTGTGTGGAGTATAATAAACGTTTAATCGCTATTACGTTACATGCAATATATTATTCAATTTTAAGCGAAATACAGGTATATATATATATATACAGCTATATACGCTTTATTTTTGAATAATCTATATTTTTATGATAATCGGAACAATAAGAGATCTTGTGTATTTTCAATAAAGAAATGTGCATGTTGAATAAGTGTTGTTTTCTTCGAAAGTAGTTGTTAACGAATGATTTTTAAAATTATGGTATGACACGGATCTTTTATGAAAGTAACGTTATCTGAATCTTTTCAGGAGCAAATACGCGATCATGTAAAGAATTTCCGAGAACTGAAAGGGAAGGTAAATTATTAGAAATATTTCTACAATATTTTTGCTTTTTGTACATATATATAAACGTATTTTGTTACAGATGGATAATTTTATGCAAACTAAGGATTGCTCCAAAAGTAAATGCACAAACAGATCGTGCGCAATATATCTTGAAGACAAAAACTGCGATACTCGAGATTTGGAGTACTCGAATAGCACCACATATGAAATATCACACATGGAAAAACGTTCTGGTAATTTACGTGTATAAGACGAAACCTAAGCTTTTAAAAAAGGATATAAATTTACAAATGCAAATTAATTAAAATTTTAGCTAAAGCAGCAGAAATGAAAAATATCACTCAGATACAAGAATTAAAAGCAGAATTGCAAAAGGTGAAAGATACAGAGCGCGATTTAAGATGCGAAAATCAGCAACTTGAAACCAATCTACAGCATCACGTATCAGAAACTGATAGTCTAATGAAGAAAATAGAGCAAAAGGAAAGTGAATATGAGGAACTTTTGTTGAAATTAGATAATGGGAAAAAAGAGGTGATGACATTTAAAAACTCTATTTCTTTATTTTTAAATTATTCTCTTATCGTTATGAAATCAAAACTTGATAGATATCCATTTTTTAAAAGAAGTGAATTGATTAATTTCAAAAATTTATAGATTAATATGTTAAACGATCGAGTCATGAATAGCGAAGAAATTATTAAAAATCAATCTCACGAAGTTGAAAATCTTAGGAAAAAGTTATTCATGAATGATCAACAAATGGAAAATTTATCCCAACTAAATATATCGGAGCATGAGATGCTGACTGTTCTATGTGATCGAATATATTCTCTGAAAATTTTACTACAAGAGAAATCGGAAAATATGGTAAAATTGCAAGCCGATTATGAATTACTTAAGGTATGTAGATAATTGTGTTGATATCTAGTATAAGTATAATAGAAAACGATTTACATGTATTGAGATATTATCACATCTACTTCAGAATGAAAATTCTATATTAAAGAATCAGAATGACATTATACAAGCTCAAACCAAAGAAGATACTTTACAGTTGAAAGAAAGGGTACTGTACACATAATAGCTTATATTTTTGTTTAAAAAAAGATGAATATTTTACTACTTTTTTAAATCTTATTTAGCTGAAAGAGGCACGGATAAAATTGCGCCAGACGGAAGACAATTGTCATCAAATGGCTGAAGAGTTCAATAAAGTTCAAGAACAATTAATATCTACAACAAAACGAGAAACTGATTTACAAGAATCATTAACGATTATGGTAATCCTTTTTTTATTTGAAATAAATTTTATTAAAAATATGTGTAAAAATTCTTAATAAAAATTGTATTTTTCATTTAGAAAAAAGATCATCGTTCTAAGATTGAAGAAGTAGAAAATGAAGTAGTCCATCTTCGTGATTTAGTGGACAAACTAAGTGAGGAATTGGAAGAGACTAAAAGGACATTAGCATTGAAAGATATCGATCTTTGTCAAGTGCAAGATAAATGCAAGAATTACGCTGATCATTTTGACACTACACGTCAAGATGTAAGCTTATATATTATCTAATAAGTTTCTATTGAAGTAAATGGGCAATATACATCTTTGATTTGATATTTTTAGCTTGAGAGAGAAAAAGAGGAATTAACAAAGGTCGAAAATGTAAATCGTGACTTGATTCAACAATTGCAGGAATACATGAAAGAGAATTACCATCTTGACCGACAGAAAATTTCACTTGAACAAAATAATTCTACATACATAACTGAGGTATGATACTCTTTACGATCTCTTGAACAACGAATATTAATTTGAATATTTTTTACACTATATATCATAATCAGTACACATTAATTTTTCTCGTTCTATAATTATATATATTATTAATTATAATTCCAAGCTATTATGTTCATTAGTTACAAGATATGCGCAAATCTTTGCACGAGTTAAAAGAAGAATGTCACTTAAAGGACCAATCTTTAACAAACATGTCAGCTGATTTAACTGAAACAGCAATGAGTAGATCAAAACTCTGCAAAGAATCTCAATATATAGTTTCATGCATCCGTGACTGTATGGAGCAACAGAAAAAATACAATGAAACTTTGTCGAAAAAATTGAAAAATAAGCAACAATTTATAATGCAGCTTGTATTCGAGAAAAAGTAAGTATATAATATATTTAATAAATCGAAATATGCTTTCTGTAAATATCTAAAATCAAGAGTTCTTTCTTTTCTATATTTAATATTAAATAAAATTTATTTCTAGAGCTTTATTAATTAAAATCCGGAAGATGAAACGAATTAATTTATTAGCGCAAAAACTGAAAAGAACGCATAAGTTAGCTAGCAGAAGTTGTAGAAAAGCGCATATTAACGGTTATATATCACCGTCAATTACGTACCAGACTACGGATACTGATTTAGCTTCAAGCTTGAACTGTACAAATTCACGAAAGGTTGGTGTTAGTTAAAAATAAAAAGGAAATCTCAGCTTTATGATATATAATTTATATTTATGTGCCTTTAGAAATATTCAACGAAACCGATCAAAATTGGGCGACGTACATCAACATGTGGCAATTCATGGTGGTTTCCCAAAATGGAACATTTAATAAATGAGGTTCGAAAAAATAATCGATGGTGGAATAAAAATTTTAAGAATGAAACGGAATCTGACACTTCATTGGAAGACAATCGTGATTACGGTTATCAATCCTCTTCTACAAACAAATGAAGAAGATTCATAGGGGATTCATTTTAATAAAGACTGAAGAAAAGGTGTGAGATAAAAATTTGAAGTATGAATACGAAACGCAGAAATTTATATCGCGACTTACGTTAGTTTGTGTTGCGTCTTTTTTTATGTAAACATAATTTTCTACATATATATCAAATGTATAATCAAATGTATCCTTTTTTAAAAATAAACAGACGTTTCTTGTGTAACGTGTGCGATCATATCAATGTTCATTCATTTTTGTCAAAATCGGATAATGATACAGTAACGAGTCATACAAACGAGATGCAATAATATAATATTTTCCAAAAATATTTTACGAAAAAATTCAAGTATTATTCCAGCCTGATCTGACGTAAATATTTCTGCGCATTTTCGTGGATCCTGGAATATTTTAATATAAAAGACAAATATATTCGATAAAAATTAATGTTAGTAAAATGCTCGATTAACATAATTACCATAACAATAAATTTAAGAACGCGCTCGAAAAAATATTTATATGTTTCCTCAGCTGTATTCTAATAGTTTACAAGATACAAATTGTGAGTTAAAGCATTAACTCATAACTGTCGCAATTTGTTCGTCAGTAAATAGATTCTTCCTAAAATATGAAAAGTGATCAAATATAAGTAGAATGCTTATATAAGTCTCCTCGATTATTGGTGAATGGTGCGGAAATAATATATTTGTAAGGTGACAAGATATAATTCGCAATCAATTAAAATGTATTTACTAACGAAGTTAACTGCAAATGTTTCTGTATGAGTCCTCTTCAGTACAGAAGATAAGTACATACACTCAATTTGTATATTCTAATTGCTTAAGAGAGAGAATCATAAATATATTATTTAAATCTTGGAAGCTCATGTAGGTATTTTATTTTATTTATATTTGATTTATTCTTGGAACCACAAAACTACTTTTATTTCTTTTTTAAATGAAAAGTAATATTGGCTTTTTAATCTAAATATGAATTACCATATAAGTCATGTAAGAAAAAAATAGATTCTCTAATATATGTTGAAAATTTTACTTGAAAAATCTAAAAATTTGCCATAGAAATTTTACAAGTATCTCTTTGTTTTCCTCTTTGTACAGTATATCAGCTAAAAATTTTTTTTCTAAAAATTATTTATATTTTATTTTATATTATTGGCAATTCTAATAATTTAATAAGTAATTAGAGTTCAAATTTTTACCGAGAAATAGCAAAATTGATTTTTGATCTTTCTGCTTTCTCATATAAGTTACATCTTCAGGCGTTATCAATTTAAAAGATAAATTGCACGGACTATCCAACGGTACACTGTCAAGTTTCCAAGGTCCGCATATATCGTCATAATTTATATTACTTTCCAACTCAGACATAGAATGTATTTTCCTGGATACAATTTTCTGAACTTCTTGTATTTTATGTATATTATCGCATTCGTTTTATCAGACTCACTTTTACACAAACGTCATTCATTTCTATACCATATATTCCAATATTTGATAACGATTCTAAATATGTTGGTAACATATCTATTGAACACAGAAGCATATTAATGTTGTATAATGCCGAGTGAATATATAAATAAATCCATATTAACAAAAGATCTAATATCTTAAAAAGAAGCAATTGTCTAATTTTCTGTATATAAATCTATGTTTTCTACAAAGTTCCGGTCAAATAAATGGGCAATTATCAAGAGCCGTCGTAATATTCACAAGTTTATTTTTTTTTGCCGTGTAATCATTTATAATTCATTATGAGTTGTCAATAAAATTAATATACAATATATTTTAGAGCAAGAAATTGTTATACGTGTTACAAACTAAGAAAGGAAATACATAGTAATAGCAGCAGGAATAGCCTCTCCTATCTTACAAGATCTCCGCGTGCCAAAAATTCATTAGATGTTGCATATTTTAAATGTACTGTTACTTTATCGGTATTTACGGTAATATTAACGGTGTATTATATTTTTATTAATTATCATCATTAATATTATTATTTATTATCATTAGCATTTATATACTTATTACATATATAAATCATATTTATCTATATGATTTATAATATATAATGTGTATTTATATATATTTATATATTTATAACGAACACCGCCCATTACACTACTAGAATTACAAATGGGATCCTTTTTTTACCACCTCTTAATAGATCTGATACTCAAAATAGATGATATATCGTCGATTACATTAAGACGCAGACTCTTAGTCAATCACTCAAGCAAAATGTTTGCGAATGTCCCACACAGTTCACTTCCCACTCTATTTTTCCCCTGTTGTGTGTGTCTTCTTCTCAAATTCATCGTAGCACACTCGTAGTGCACTTATCTTTGTAGATTATAGTACATATCTGTAATCAGAAATAGATAGCGCGTCTACTGCAATATTATTCTAAATACGTATGAATGCAAATTTAATTAATATAAATGGAAACAACATCGAGTAATTTAGCTTAATTAAAAGTTTTACAGGTCAACGATACAAAATTGTGTTGATAATGTTGTGTTGAAGTGTAAACACACACACTTTCTCGGATATAATTAACAATTTACTTGCAACTTACCTAATTTAATCAAGAATGTCTGAGAAATAAATAATTTCCTCCGTAGAAATAAAACGGTAATAAATAATTGTTTAAGTAGCATGTGTATCATTGTTATAATTATTTTTGAAGTGTAATACAAAATGTACAGCTTACGAACGTATGCAATGATCGTCTTTTTCGTTACATATAAATGATAAGGAGAATGAGTCACAATGTACAATTCCATAATGTACTGTATTACAATTGTTGAATATCTACAATGCACAAGACTGTAACTACTGTAAAACACTTTATTTACCTGGTGAATATTAAAAACTTCTCTATACAGGAATAATAGAACCTACCTGTGGTTTTTAACAGAATATATCTAGATAGTTTTATATCATAGCGAAAATAAGAATAAATATATAATTAGGATATAACAATATTAGAGATTGAAGAGAAGGATTGCACCCTGAGAATTTTCTTTTTTGTAACAATTTTAAACAGCTTTACCTATTATTATTACAAAATAATATTTCAGATATACAATCCAATGATGCGAATCATTGCACAGGAAATGGGAGCATTATCGTAAATTACAAGAAACATTTCCACAAGCTTGCACAATGAATATCATGCACATGTATTCTTGTAGCACCTTTATCAGTCAGAAATTAGTATCCTCCGAAAAGAAAGGAAACTTTTACAAATTTATAATATCTATAAACATATAGAGTGTCATATAAACACTACAATGTGCCTAAAAGGGATATCTAGTGCCTTATATTAAACAACTTCTCTTTTTCACGAAATTTTGAATAATACACTTAAATTAATCACGGATGAACAGATATACGAGAATAACAGATAAAACGAAAAAACTCTAATAAAAAAGTATTATGCTTTTAGATGTATCTCATAGATTACAATTTTTCATGCGCAAATAATGAAAAACTCTGACTTTAATAAAGCTGTCACAGTAATGTAAATGCTATTTAAATCTAGTAGAAATATATTGAGAAAAATCTTAAAGATTTGCTTTAATAGCGACATATCAATGTAATAATTGTATGAATAAAATAAAAGATTTTAGCTAAAGAATTAATTTAAGCATATATCCAACATTATTATATTGGATATTTATATCAAAGTGTGCATGTTTTGAACAAATATACTGCTAAAAGAAAAATTTCTGAGAAATATATGTAAATACATTATTAACATGGAAACATAAAATTTAGAATTGTTTTCTTCACACACACATACAAACATTTGTGTGTTAACTACCTTTTAATTACAAGAAATTGTCAATGTTTAGCTAAATATTATACAGCAATATTACAATTACATTTATATCCTGCATGTTATAAATTTGATGGTCATATATATTGAACTTTCAATCCGCGCTCTCTTTACCCCTTTGTCTATTTCCAGCCTACCTTCATATATCTACTGTTACAGTAAATATAAAGGAGACAAAAGTCGAGACGAATTATACACTATAAAAAATATCATAAACATAACAAGAAATATAATATACTCTATAAAATTACATGACTACTCAGATACCCCATTATGACATACTAATACAAAAATCTGCTAAAAGCATTTTAAAGTGCAATGTCTACTTCTATGCAATATCAAATTGATATATTCCCGTTTCCCCATTCTTCTTTTGATCGCGCTTTCGTTTCATTATATATTCTAATATTATAAAAATATGTGAACATGTTATTACACTGAACATTTGATTTGTAACATATTCATTAGGCATATATCAAATATTTGCTGGTTTTTCATCAATGGAATAATGTCTCTTATCAATTCAATCAATTTTAAAGATAGTATGTATATATATATATATATATATATATAATGTAAAAATATAGATACGAATATATTGTGAGACACATACGGATTTAGATAATCACTTGCAGCAATTGCCGGTTGCTGCCTTTTGCCCATCTGACTCGACTAGTCGACGGCCTTGACCACTCGTACTTGCGCTTCCTGATTGTTCGTTTTTAGGAAGCTTTTTAGCTGTAAAAAGAAATATCTTGTAGCAAAACTGTGTCAACGTGTTTTATAATCATAAGCATTTTACGAAACTGTTTTTTTTTTGCTGTTCAATGTAATGTGGTACCAACAGACGTAGAATTGGAGCTACCACGTATTTTGAATAGCGATAACGCGTAACATGAGATAGAATCACATTTCTACGATAACGTACATATTATCAAATAAAACAAGAAATTTATATATGTAATATTTACGTAATTTGAAAACACTAATATTACTTTTGTAGTATAATTTTTATGCAATTATCTGCGGATAATGTGCAATTAAATTTTAACAGGAAAGAAATAAAAATATACACAGCTCACCAATTGCAAGGAATATGTCGTTAACATTCATTGCCGTCTTAGCAGATGTTTCCATGAAAAGAAGGCCATTTTCATCCGCATATGTTTGAGCTTCATCGTACTCGACGACTCTCTTATTTGCCAAATCTGCCTTGTTTCCAGCTAATGCTATTACTATGCTCGGACTGGCTTGGCGCTGCAATTCTTTTACCCATGTTTGGGCACGTGAGAATGTATCCTAGTAAAATAATAAATATCAATTAGTGTTCTATCATCCCTTCTCGTTGATTTAACTTTGTTATAAACATTCTACTCCTTCAAACTCACACAAATTCTTACGGATTACTTACCTGATTTGTTATGTCATACACAACAATGGCTGCCTGTGCACCACGATAATACATTGGTGCAAGACTATGATAACGTTCTTGCCCCGCGGTGTCCCAGATTTCAAATTTTACAGTTGTGTCATCCAAACATACGGTTTGTGTTAGAAATGCAGCTGGAAATAATTATATTCGCGGTAGTGGCAATACAACCAATGTAAAAAAAAAATATGTGGCACTAAAGAGCAATTGCACATAAATGTTCTTACCGCCAATTGTACTCTCCTGGTACTCGTGGAACTGTCCTTTGACAAACCTTAAAACAAGACTTGATTTTCCGACTGCTGATTCACCGAGTAAAACTAGTTTAAACTGACAAATTTTTCCTTGTGTCGATCCATTCGGCCTCTGGGCCGTACCCCGAGTCGCCATGATCACCTAGAAAGAAAATTTCTCAATTTTAACTGATTTCGCAATTTCATGAACTGTTAACGATATTGCTAGTTATATTATTAACCAGGAAATATATTTATGGGATATTTGAGAAGTATTCTTCTGTTTCACAATAAGTGTTGCATGTTTGGTGACATCTTCTTTCAGCTTACTTTCAATTACATTTAAATGTTACGAAAAAGAGAATATAAGTAGAATGAAAAAATTGAAGTGTATTGAAAGATTAGTATATTATTCTAATAACAATACTGTTTCTTATTAGAAGTTTTTTAGAAGATTATTTAATGAAAAACTGTATTCTATAACAAAATACTTTAATAAAATTAAGATTTTTTTATGTATATAATGCAATATAAACATTAACATTACAATGATATTAAAGATTTAATATAATTACTGAAATCAAAATAAAGATATATCCAATATTTAGGTACACATTGAAAAACTTTATATACTTAATCTTTTTATATACAGAAGTGACATTGTAAGATTTAATAAATTTCAGTTGTCATTGCATACAAAAAGTTCGATTCAACAGAAAAACGCATCTATTTATACTGAAGCTTTATACCTGACAGATAAGACTTTGTTTCAGGCATATGGGAATTAACTACAATATTTTTAAATTATCTGTGGCCTATATATCTAGCAAAATCCAAAAAGCAAATATAACAAGAGACACAAAATAGGATTTAAACGCACAACCGAAAGTGATAATCAATTAAGAATCGCAAAAACAAAAACGTGTGCGAGAGACAGAGGATCATTTTAAGAAGAGATATTTGCAATGAAATACGAATATACCAGAGTGATAAGATAAGAAAGTCCAGAAAAACAACGATTGCGGGGTAAAAACGGTATTGAAATAAACGAATTCAACATTCCAAGAATTAAGTTCAAGACGACGGATGAGCGACGACACCGGCATGGGGGATCTCATGGTAGAAACAAATAGAATGAATTACTGACGAAGTCGGACGCGACTGTTTCTCTCTACTGTAGTTAATTAAATAGAATAGACGGATTACTTACGCGTGCACGGTGTGGGATGGAAAACAGGCGGGGGCTCTCATTAACCCATTAGGATCCGGCACTGTTAATTATATTATCCAATTAGTATGAACCTTAACGTCATCGAATACGTCCTCCGGCATTATTTTTCTTTCCTCTCCTTCCTTCCGCGAGGCGGGAGAGGCTGAGAACGAAATACTTTGGAACGGTCAAGGCGAGATAAGGGGAAGGGGCTCGAGGAGGAAGGAGCGATGCACCCACAAAGACTCCCGACTTTTACTCGGCGCGATCACGAGATCCAAGTCTCCAAATACATGCAAACGCTACGTGAAAAAGGATCCGTCGACGAGGAGCTCCGCTCGCGTGATCTATGTACCGTCTCGTGCGAGCCGCCTGCCTGTCCGTCTCACCGCCGTGGCATCCGTCGTCGAAAGGAAAAGCCACTGGAATGTGATCATGTACGTCACCGCGACACTTCCGTAACCTTGGGCACTCAGGGTGTTATCGAAAAATTACGAGAAACCGTTAAAACGATGCATCGACGCAGCACGAAGGAGGAATAGAGAGAAACAGAGAACAGCCATGTCGCGTATATACTTGTTGTGTATGCGTGTACATGTTGTGTGCGTGTATGTGCGTGTATGTGTGTGTGTGTGTGTGTGTGTGTATGTATGCGCGCGCAAGCGCGTCATGTGCGTGTGTGTGCAAATAAGAGGGAGATGGACTATGCGAGATAGCGGAAAAAGAACGCGAGGAGAAAAGAGAGCGCGGATGAGGGAGCGAGCGAGAAGGAAGGAAGGAACGGAGAGAGACAAATAAAGGGAACGGGAACGAATGCGCCACGATTGTCACTGCCCTGAGGTAACTTGTCACCGCCCGTCGAAACGTCAGCAACATTTGAAAGATCGGATGTTCTCTCCTCCCAGGGGGGAGAAACTGGAGCTTTGGTGTTTCACCCTGGTCTCGAGGAGGCAGTGAATGTGAGAGAGAGAGAGAGAGAGAGAGAGAGAGAGAGAGAGAGAGAAAGAGAGAAAGAGAGAGAACGATCGGGTGACAGAACGACACACACGTTCGCCGTCTCCTCGCCTCCCTCGTCCAGTGTGCATCCTCCAGTATAAACATTCTCCAGAATATAAACATCCTCTCCAATATAAACATTCTTCTCTCCTGTCGTCAGCCGTTCTTCAAAGGGGGTTGGATAATTTTAGGATTCGCTTACTCGCTCGCTTTGCACACTAATAAACGCGGCGCTCGCCGCTCTTCCTCACGCAGAATGACTGACACCTGCCAAGAGTGAAAATTCGAAGTTCTCAAGAAAGTTTATGTTTTTAACCTGCTTTGCGTTGTCGAGGGGCACGCCGTTAGATAGGTACGCCGCACTGGGCTAGCTTCTTCTCGGGGGAGGGGCGACAACGGTAACCAATGCTGCGATGATGATGGTTCAACGTCGACTCGCTGCCGGAGCGTCAGGCTAGATCCGCTAGATCAGCACTCACCACTGATAGATCGGCTCGTCGATCGTGCATAGATCGCGCAATTTATGTAGAACGTGCACATTTATGACAGCTCCCGGATGGCACGCGAAACTTCTCTGGAGCTCGCTCCTCTCCTTCGTCCCACCGGATCACCGACTCTTCGGAATCCTCTCTCGCTCTCCCCCGCTACACTCGCTCGCTCGCTCGCTCGCTCGCTCTCGTTCGTTCGCACTTGATATCGCCGTGCACGACGTTCCGTTTTTTTTTCTCCCCGTGGAAGGTGCGTGTCGCCGCCCGGCCGCGTAACACTCGCACGACTCGCACCCCGCGATCGCGGCTCGTTTCTCTTCTCCTCCGTAACCTACATCGACGGGCACCGACGACGGATACGTCGACGAGTAGTCTCGGAACTTTGACACTCCGATAGGAGAGGGAGAGACAGAGGAAGAAGCAAATGAGAGAGGGACTGACAAGGAACGAGAGAGGAGGAGAGAGAAAGAGAGAGAGAAAACGAAATTACCGACACCGCACCGCGATGCATACGGTGCTGCGTCACTTTTCGCCCGTTCGTTCCGCTTCGGATTTCTCCGAGGGTCGCGCGTGATCGCGCGAACGCAAAATGGATTCACCCACCGGATCGTCACGTCGAAGTTCACGGCGAACGAAACGCGTGGTCTTAAGCGCGGATACGCCTCTCTCGTGCGGCTCCCACCCGACTCGGTTTTGTCTCTCCGCCGATTCCACCGATAACGTCCACGTACCGACCAGTACCGACCACTGCGAACAAGCACGGACAAGTGGGATATTAGCCAGGGCGAACACCGAACAGCATTTCCATGTGCTGTCGTCGCGACGCCATCTCGCGTCGAGATTTCGCACTTGGCCACCAGAGGCCGTATAGTTGATTAGAAACGTGATGTGAAACCTTATAGCGTTTTCGGCCCGATCGGGTTTGCACCAACCTTGGTTGGATTAATCTTTCCTATTGGTTGACGTCGCCCGCTCTACCAATAGGAGAACTGTTGGAATTCTTTAATATGATTGGTCTCACCTTCAGTTCCTACGACGAATAAAATAGATGCATTCAGTACTATAACCGCTCATTGAGCGCTCAGTGAGCTTTCGTATCTGTTTGGTCTATATTTTTAGATCTAACGGAATATGCCAATCAGATGCAAGAGCTAGAATGACGCTTGTGTCAACTTGTGTTATCAAATAGAAAGCACCCTATGTAGAAACATCACAGCCGATTGGTTCCTGCGACAATGTGGGACGCGATTGGCCGATTTGAATCATGTCGGTTTTTTAAAATGGGCGTCCACGTTTGAGATTCACATGTCATGTCATATGCTGCCTTTTGTTTACGTCCGAAAACGCGCGACGTCAGCGACAGAACGCGATATTCATCGAACTATGATTTCGAGTACCTTTTGAAGAAACATCTCCACCGAGTTCTGAGACGCACCTGCATTTTAGATACACCCGACGATAAATTTTTAAAAGGAAACAAGTTGACATATCAACGTCTCCGGTGAAGTGAACTTATTGGGATCTCTTTGCGAAATATTTTAGTGCGATAATGGAGAAATATCAGCATATGAGAGCGTTTATATCGGCAGCCTTAGAATATACCAAGCACCCCAGCGAAAACGTAATCTCTGCTATACAAAGAAGTCTTGGAGTAAATATGAAAACACATTTATGCTTAATACACTTATATTGTTATTGTATTTTTGAAAGTACTCCCATTTATAAATTTATATCTCTAAGGTGATTAGTGCATCACTGGACCTGAGTATATTTGATCCTGGGACTAGTGTAGCTGCGGAGTTCTACGTGAGTCTGTATGAACTTATGAACTCCATAGGATCACGATCCACTTTAATCTGGAGTGCTGTGGATGTTTTGCAAAACGCTTGTCGGAATGTACCTGCTAGACAGTCACTTATTCATATATATAAATTTGCACCGATATTAGCAAGATTATTGGAGGTATAGAATTTAATAACTCACACATTGTTCTTTTCCACTTATATATAATCCATTGTTTCTCATCATCTTATTTATAGGACAGCACCTTTTTAAAACTAAAAATTAATATACTTAGACTCAAAATTTAAAAACAAATTAAATCGTATTTAAATTATTATAAGATTAAAATTCATTTATTAGCACTTAACGTTCTGCATTGACTCGTAGCCTTTAGCACCTTTTTAATTTTTTTCTCCATATGGAGTATTAAAAAATTTTTTTGTACGTATAAATTATATAGACATGAAAAAAATCAAAGAGATGGTACATATCTAGAAAAAAATTGAAAAGATGTTCTATAAATAGAACGATGGCAAAAAATGGAGTATATTATTAGATACCTTTGCATAATCAAATTAATATAAAGTTCTTTCGAGCATTATAGGTGAATCTGACAACTGAAAAGAGGATACGAGTATTGAAACTATTACAAGAATTAACATACGGAATCAAAATCTCGTGGCAAGAGACTCAGCTTCCATATTTAATTTCCACATTAACTCAGTGGGTAGTACAATCAAAAGAGGAAGAGATTATCTCTCTATCTTTAGGTGTACTGGTAAATCTATGTTATAAAAATCTTCCGGCAGTATACACGCTGATGCGAACCGTCAATACTAAAGCATTTATTAGAACGTTAGTGAAATTACAAGATCATGTCAATACTAGTGTACAATGTTGCAAGTTATTAATTATATTGGAGCCAAGTAACACGAGCATGTATGAAAAATATATCACAGATTTTGCATCGGTAACGTTTATTAATCTGGGAAAAGCGATGAAACAAAAAGATGTTTTATTATTGAGACATATCATTGACTTTTTTAACGATATTGGACAAAACGAACATTGGCGAAACGTTCTACTCACATATTCGAAGTAAGTCGATCAAATCTGGTTCTTATGTAACATAACAATGCATAAAGTATTTCAAAGATAAAACATAGAGTGTTTGTTATCAAAAAAGGATAACAGATTTTAAAAGTATATAGAATAACAAAAAAATAAATCAAAAGGTTCTAATAAACATAGGTCCGAAAACGAACGGTTGCCAAGATATCTCTTGGATGATTTGTTTTTGGATTTTACTAGGACTTTTTGACTTAGTTTTTGTTGTCCTGTATGCCCTTAAAGTCTATGATCCTTTTTTTATAATTCCCGGTATACTTATATATGTTTTCAATGTTGACTAGCTATGGCAAAGATATTGAAAATATATTGGCCACTTTGGAAGAGAATACAGATCCAGAATGTGTCGCTCTCATGATGGAATTTTTATTATTATTGGTGAAGCTGAAATTAACTGCCATAACGCCTTTGTATCCTGCATGTATAAAATCAGCTATGACATGGGTACCTGTGGAACAGGTATGTAATCTTTATTATCTTCTTCTTACGTTAGTCTTCTGGCCTGTGTTACACCTCTCTCATGTACTTGTGGGGCGTACGTTGATTATTTAATTGCCACAAGCATATGGAACCTACAGTTTTAATGCCGGTTTCGAACGGTGGGTTTTTCAAGAGGTGTTTCTGTGGGCTAAGATACTCTCAGAAGAATATTTTGGTTCTTACTAGGATCAAACCTGGGATCAAACCTGGGATCTTTGGCATGATAGGCCAGTGCGCTGTCTGCTATGCCACGCTCGCGCTCGTAATTTCTATTATCATCTTTCGCAATTCTTATTAATGCAATAATTCGAAACATGTGAAGAAAAAGATAGAATACGAAAAATTAATTAGTAATTTAATCAAAGTTTCTGTTGAAAAATGTAGGTATGTTCAAAAGCTTTAGCACTTATACGGAGCATAATAATTGATTCCCGACGCACCAGAACCTGTGCTGAAGTTTTAACAGAGATGGATCCGTCTGTCCTAATGCTTATAACGAATCAGGAGGACGAAGTTAACGATCAAAGTGAAGATCAAACCGCGGAAATGAAGCAAGCCGAATTGATGCAGCTGTTTCAAGAAATGATTAAAACTCCTGCGCTGAAAAAGAAAATTATGAGCTCATTCAACGAACATGCAATGCGCAAACAGTTCAATCATGTGCTGAATAATGAATTTTCTGCCTGTGGAGATTGGACCAGAAACTTTATGCAGGTTAATACAGAATTTAATATGCTGCACGCGCGTTAAAGTACTAATTACATGTTTTTGACTTTACAGAATGCTTCTACCAACCTTTACATTCACGCCTTAGCCTTGACAGCAGATTTGGCAGCGAATCATTCCAACTGGTTAACTCTATATTCCGAATTGCTCAGTAAAAAACAAATACAAATGATAATAGCGCTAGCATTATTCACCGGTGATGCAGAAGTTAAGCACAAAGCCTTGCAGTTGACATCATCGATTGGATTTCCACAAGAATGGTAAACCCTTTACATGTGATCAGATGTTCATCTTAATTTAACACGTGACAGTTGTACATATAGAATTTCTGTTTGAGAAGTGTTTCCGCAGTGGCACTTTGCATGAAAGAATTAGAACCATTGATATTGGTTCAAAATACCAATAACAATATATTGGAGATCTCGAGTAAAGTATCCTTAAATTATATCGGGAACGAATTGGCGCCGTTATTTTCCTTCGGGCAAGAAGAACGCCTCGATACATTTTTAACTAAACTCGAATCAAATCAAATTAGTGATATTCCAACGTCCGCGGTCATGGAATTATATGAATATAAGGTACAAAATTTATACATTATAATCTTTTTTCACATTGAGAATGTACACAGTTTAATATATCTCATTATATTGTAACTAATTTTTTTTAAAGTTAGCAACGATGAGACATTCTGAAAGGGCAATGCGGTCAAGTTTAGAAGCAGCAAATAATCATGCTACTAGTCTACAACACAGATTAGCACAAGTAGTGGCTGAGTCTAGTAGATTACATCAGTTATTATTTGATACCCAGCAATCTTTGGAAGGAACAAAAGCGGAAAAGTGTGCATTAACGGAAAAATTTATCGAGAAGGAAAATCAATCTCACAAAGCGCTTTCGTTAAAAAAAAAAGTGAGTGCTTATTATTATACAAATGCGAAATTGCTTTAACAATTTCTTTAGTTTTTATAATAATGATTATTGCATTTTAGGAGAATGAATCCTTGAAAAAAATTGTAGCCGAAAAGTCGACAAATTTAGAGAATTTAAATGAAAAACTGACACAGTGTACAAAAGACTTAGAAGATAGTAATAACAAAATTGATATACTAACCAAAAAAATCAAAGAATTAGATAATGAACTTTTAATTGCTGAAGCTAAGGCTACAGATATGAGCAATAAAAATCATGAATTAAGTAAACTTTTACAAAAAATGCAAGATTCCCTTAGCAAAAAAGAACAGGTATAGTAATTCTTTGTAAATTTCATCTCTAAAAAATGTTTCTAACAAATTCTATTATATTTTATGTGTTATAGATCTTAGAGAAAAAAAGTGCAGAGATAGAAGCAAATCAAAGTGATATATCTGCGCTTAAGCAAGAAATTGAACAAATGAAGCAAATACTACAGACCTCTGAGCAAACCATATCAGAAAAAGATAGAAATATTCAAAGAATGAAAGGGGAATTGAAAGAGTTAAGCCGTATGCGGGATATGATCTTCGAGCTTACTGCTAAAAACAAAGATGATCTCAATTCAAGTTAGCGATTCTGATGCTTTTTCTTAGGAAAATTGAAATACACAACGTATATTTTAACATAAAAAAATTTATTGAAGGAATACGTGGTAGAAATACGATCAAAAAATTTATATACAAATAATCGATTATTGTTATTGTATGGCTGTTCATTGCTTACCCAATACGATCATTACATTTTGATAAAATGTTTTATATAATTTGCACATAGGACAACTATTATATTTATATCATAAATTAAAACGCAAGTGTACATCATTTTGCATACTGTTACGCAAATTTTTGTACTATTAAACATATTATTATATAGATTAAAGATATATAGCATAAGCATGCAATATTCCATATAATTATTTTTCTTGTTGTGTTAAATACGATTGCTAACAATTTCTACTTATTTTATATTAAAATACGTAAAATGAAATTGCTATAATTATATATCCTGCTGTTTTGAACGACAAAATCATTTTTTTGTCTTTGTATATTATTTTCACGTATTTTACTACCACAAATGTATACTATGTCAATGAAATATTAATACTGTTACAATTTTTCACTTATATTATAGAGAAGATTTGTCTTACTACCACTTTGGTATTACAAATAAATAATACCTTCGTTTTTAAAGCCATATATACACATATATATTTGTGTATGTGTGTGTATATATATATATATAAATCATATTAAAATATTAAAGATAATAAAAAATAGCTTTTTAAATTAAATAAAAAATATAGTATTTTTAGTAACATTGCTAACAATTTTAATTGCTTCTTCCTACTTTATCATCCATATATATCATTCTTATCAAATATAATAACTAAAAAAAAGAGGTATGTGTGTATATACTATAGATATATGCATGTTTTAAACATTAAAATTTTTGGTATATTGTATATACTGTTGCGTATGTTTTATATATACATATATATATATATATATATATAAAATTAAATGCTGTTTCATACCTGTAAACAGGATGTTACCAGTACAAAAAGAGATTCTAAAAATAGAAATAAATCGATGAAACATAATAGAATGTTGTTGTAGGATACTTTGAAGAAATTAATATTAAAATTTGAAAATTGAACATCAATATTTCTCTCTCTCTCTCTCTACTTTTCGTGATTAATATAAAATTGTTATAAAATTATTATAATATAAAACTTATCGAATTGCATAAAAAACAACTATTGAACATACATAAAAAATGCAACATTCTATCGAAAAAATAAAAATCTCATTTTTTAAATATAATATCTAAAATAATTTAAATTAAAAATGTTTTATTAAAAATGGTACTATTTTATTGATATATCAATAATTGCTACTGAAATAAATTCAGTATTATATGCATTAATACCGTTACAAATCATGCTTAAAAAATACAAGAACATAATATTAATTTTCCTATCTGCAAACTATTTCTTTGAAAACATAAATAAGTCCTGAAAATATTTTACTCTCTATTCTCGATTTATTATGTACAATCATTTTTTCTACCATTTTTGCACTGAAAACACCTTGTATGTAATGTCAGTATTAGCGTTTTTACTTACTTAATTTCTTCATGGAATTACAGAACTTTTTATATATCCAGACAAGATATAACTGGATTAATAAAATGGAGCAAAATGGGGAGGTGAAAAATGTCAATCAATCCCAATTATCTGACGTGAACGCCAGTCGATGACGTCTATCTCCTTTGTGTACCATATGTCGCAATAAAGTTGATAATACCGAAATTTGATTCATTGCACGGTCAACGATAAATACAATACAACTATAACTTTAGAAAAACAATAAAGTAACTTATTTTGCGAAATAATTAGTATAATAAATCTATACCGAATTATATAAATCTGACTAACCAAATTAAAATGTGCTATGTGCAACATGATTGAAAAGTATATTATTTTCCACGCTTAATATCGCATTTCTAATGCGACATTGTCATCAACTGCCGCCTTTACTCCATGGCTGTTCAGTGGCGGATGCAAACATCAAATAGAAGCAATTCGTAGTCATATTTATTCCCGCTGCCATCCAGAAAACTGTATGCCAACGTGCGAGGGTTTCCTGTAATATAAAATAAAAAACAATGTATATACATCCTAACGAACGCTTGAAACGAAAAATATGACAAATATACTAACGTGTCCCTCTACTATACTGCCGATAACATATGGTGCCAAGAAACCACACGCGTTTGACGCGGCATTTGTTAATCCGTACAAGGTACCCGCATAACGTGGTGCTAATGCGATGTGATTCATCTGATTTCCGGCATACACCGCACCCTGAAGAGAGCCCAATCCAGCAAGCATCAACATCACCGTCATACGATCGCATCCGGCCCAAATAGCACCGACGAAACTGAGACTAGGTCCCAACGAGGCCACCGTGTTCCACAGTTTGAACGAAGCCAGAGGTGAGATCAGACGACGAGCCAAGAGTGCATCCGCGAAACTCGAGATACAAAGACCCACTAGCCAAGCGCTCAAATAAGGTAACGCCGAGAGAAATGCGTTCTGTTGTACGTTCAGATGTAAAATTTTATCCATATACGTCGGCAGCTCTGTCAGAAGAGTGTAGAAGGCCCAGGACTGGCCGCACTGCGTAATAGCAATGGCCCATATAGGTAGAGAGGTGAAGACGGACAACCAAGGTACTCCCGCATCATCATTCTATTGTTTAAAATTTTATCATTAAGTCAAATATACGATAACTTCGCAGAAATATTTATATATCAAACATAATACTGACTTCGTCTTTTTTCTCGACGCTAGCTTCAATATACGCTTTTTCGGAAGGATCAATGCTCGTGTGTTGCGAAGGAGTGTCGTATATGAATATCAACCAGAACACATACCACACGAGACCAAGACCACCAAACAGATAAAATGCAAGGGGCCAACCGCCCCATAATTCTAAGGAACATAGCCAACCACTCACTGGTAATGAGATGACAGTTCCGAAATTCGAACCTGAAAAAAATATCGTAAGTAATTTTGGAATATTTTTTTACCATTAAAAGGCAAAGACAAACAAATTACCTGCATATACTAGAGCAGCAAATTTACTTCTTTCTAATGGAGGTACCCAATGTGCCAGCATACTGTGCATCGCAGGAAACGTTACCCCCTATATATCATATATGAAAAAGTATTAATAATTTCCATAGACATTTATAGACATGTTATGGAAAGTAGGATATTTACCTCGGTAAATCCTTCTGCGACTCGTACAACCAAAAATGGAACCAAACCCCAATACGCAGCGAAGGGACTTATCACGGTCAGAACAGCAGTCAGGAACACTCCCAAACCATAAATTAATTTGCCACCCATTTTCTCAGCCATCCTACCACCCGGAACATTTGTAGTTACATAACCAAGAAAGAATGCACCTAATATGATACCTTGAGTCTTTTCATCCCAGGCAAATTCTCCCGCGCTCTGAAATAACATTGAAATTAATTTCAGAACGTATACTAATAAAAAATACTACAATATATGAATTCACCCCCACAGAGATCTAATTAAAGAGTTATGTGCCACATTTTAATATATTATAAATTAAAACAATATTTAGGCACATTTCTTTTGTTTAAATATTAACATAAAAAATTCCTTTATTAAATAGTGTTTGATGATAATATTAATATTCAATGAAATAAATTAAGAAGCAACGGAGAAATTATCAATAAGTTCATAGTAAATATTTCATTATTTAATTTATACACTATCTCATACGTTAGACTTCCTGTGACAAATATTGAGATATTAATGAGATGGACAGACTCATATCAATATCATGCATTAATACAAAGAAGAAATAGTATAGTGTATGTACGTGTTACATTTGTACATTCAAGTGTGATAAGTTTAATTTAAATGACTAACGTCACACGATAAATAGTATCTAAATAACGTAATAACAGGAATGATATGTATACTTAAAAAGTAATATGATATAAGAAGTAATACGATAAATATATAGAGTAATAATATGGAAAATAATAATAAAGATTCAGATAACCACTTTAAAAAAACAATGATAGATTTACCGGTATGAAAGTCCCGTTTATCGGTTTAGTTTTAGGACAAACGTCGCTAGTATCATTATCCTCAGCATGCGGTATTGCAGTCTGATTAACCATAGAGACGATGGCTACTGATAAATTCACTCTCATAGCGTATACAAGGGCAAAGCCAAGAAAGCCCAGAAAACCGAGAGTGTGACGCGCTTTGATGCATGATTTAGTGTCTGCTGGAATCTGGGATGTGTTAACTGAAAAAACATTACATTGTGAACATATATTATCAATAGAAATGTTGAAATATATTACTTATGAATAATCTTGAAAGAGAATGGCAAGGCCTTCAATTACTTAATTTGGCTCTTCCAGATATTCTAAAAACATTAAAAAAATTAATTTGCCCTGAGAAAAAAAGTACTAAGTTTTAATAAATATTTATTTGAATAATACTAACTTAACATTTATTTACAGTAAATAAATATATTTACTAAATAAAAGAATGATAGTTAAATGAAATTAAATGGTTCTTGTACCAATTAATAAGCATATATTCATTAAATATTCTACTAATAATACATTATATATATAATTAATAATAATAAATTAAATAGCTACTACTATTCAAACAGATGTTTATTAAAATTTAGTACATTTTTCTCAATGTATGTTAAAGAAATTAAATCTGTGTATTAATTGACAGCTATCTAAACAGATCTAAAATTTCTTAACAGCTGATGCATTATTGTAACTACAATCACATTAATATTCCCAAAAATTAATCTACGTTTAAAACAATAATCAGTTCTTCATTCTTCTCCTACTCCTGTGAAATGGTAAGATAAAAAAAAAGTACGGACGTAATTTGCTTCGGCACAAAATAAATCTGACGTACACGCGCATTGACGTCTCTCGCGAGGGAAGAAGGCGGAAAGATGAAAAAGGTCGCACGATCAACGCTATAGATAACAGATCGTTTTCACTTCCGCGATATTCACGAACATCTGTCCCCGCGTCATCGTCGCATTGCTCACGTTATCATCCCTTTGTTTCCAAACAATGCACGCGCGACGCTGACTATTTCTCGCGTGTGGAGAACAACGTATAATTATGTGAACGAGGACGACGCATAATGACGTCACAAAGGTATTCGACGAGATGTCTTTTTCTATGGATTACCTCGCTCCAGAGAATCATTGATACACAACGGCTGATCGTCCCTGGAGACGCTTGGGTCCAGGACTTCCATGATGCCGTCCTGGATCGTCCTGTTCTACAGCGATCCCGCACTTTTACGATGACTCACTGCCGCGTCAGGCATAAGAAATAACGCTTTTCCGCTCTCTCCTCCAGCGCGTCCGCGCGGTAACAGGTCGTTACGGCCGCGTTACGACCGTAGTTCGAGTCTGCTGTCAGCTTTGATCAGCCTGTCACCCGCGCGGAACGGTGTACGACATGCGAGAGAGTGAGACGGTGGGATGGATCCTGGACATGCGCAGCCGTGAGAGTAATAGACAAGAGTACAGCCTGAGGGCTCTGAGGATCAATTGTGTACCTTGAAATGAGGTAAAAATTACAAAAACGAATTTATTAAAATATTTATAATTTCTCACTAGTTATTCTACTAGTAAATTTACTCACTTTTATAATTTTCACCTTGTTTTGAGATACGCAATCGTGCTCCTATTCTTTACAATTGAATACAATATTTATCTTTCCAGCTTTCTCCTTTTTCTCTTCACATTGAAGAAAAAAAGAGAAAAGATAGTAAACAGTACAAGTTCAGCTGCAAAGAACCGACCTACTGACTTATATATAGATAACTGATTTAAAGAGATATACCAATAAGATAAATTGTACGTTTTTTAGATAAAGAGATAAATTCAAGTAAATTATGTAATATGATTCATACATGAAACCTGAAACACCGATATATCTATATGTATACTAATATCGTTTTAGTATTACTATTGGCTGCGTCACGCATGACGTATCTTTCTTTAATATTCGGTGAACAATAAAGATAAAATGATATATCATGTGTACCATGCGTGAAACGGAACGCACCTTATAAATGTGCAATAAATATTAATTAAAAATTGTATATTTCTTGTAATGTTGAATAATAATATAATCGTGATATAAATTATTTATACAGGTACGTATATCATTAATGAAGGTTTCAGAAATAACAAATTGGAAGAAAAAATATGTAATGTAATAATTATATACAAAATTATTATAATTAATTATATTAATAATATCATCACAGATCTTTAAATGTATAATTTATGAATTTTTATAATGTTAATTTTTTATACTTTTATTTGTACAGTTTTTAAACATTATGTAAAATTTTGTGTATACAATTTTAAGCGCATTTGTAATTTACAGAATGCTTATTAATTTTTATACTTGCACGTATCCTAATTTTATAAATGTTTTTTGTATTATACGATAAATAAAATTTTTAATAAAATTTTGTTTCGATTCTATTAATTTAATTATTATTTATTTCCATATTAATGATTTTTTCCCTTCCTGCAAATTCATTTTTTTACGCAGCTTTTTCACTATATAAAATAATAAAATATCTGCGCAACGACTCCGACAACTGTCGGTAGGCGTGTAAAGACAATTAGAGGCTCCGCATAATAAAAAGAACAGGGAACAAAGAACAGAGAATAAGAATTTCAACCTATCAGAAACTGTGTATTCCACAATACATGATTTCTGATGCAGCAGCGGAACAAAATTCAACCAATCGTAAAGTACTAATAGAAACAGATATCGTGCAGAAAATATAAAAGTACTTTGTGATTGGTTGAATTTTGTTCCGTTGCCGCATGAACCGCTCAATGTGACATCAGCCTTAAGCGAAGAGCACAGACTCTTGCATAACGCATAAAATATGATGCATAAGAAAATCAACCAATCAGAATCCTTTATTTCATGGAAAGGAAGGAAATAAAGGACTTCGATTGGTTCATTTTCTTATTTATTATGTGTTACGCGTTATGCAAGAGTTTGCTCCCTGCTTTAGGGTATATCCACACAACTTGCATAGACGCATAAAGAAAATTATCCACTCATATTTTAAGGCCATTCCACACAAACTTGCATAGTCGCATAAACATATGCATAAAGAAAATCATCCAATCGTAATTTACGTTTGTTTTTATGACAGAAATGTGATTGGATAATTTTCTTTATGCATATGGTTATGTGGCTCTGCAAGTTTGTGTGGAATGGCCCTTACGTGTGTTTTGTAGGAGAAATGCGATTGAATAATGTTTTTTATACATACGTTTATGCGGCTATGCAAGTTTGTGTGGATATACCTTTACGGAAACGCGCCCCTGCATGGCTGCGTTCGGAAACTTCACTCGGGTGTCTCCGTGTATCATCTTATCCTTGTTTAACAATGGGTGAACAACAAGGATAAAATAATACGCGGGGGCACTCGGATGATTTTTCCGAACGCAGCCCTATTGCCATCGCAACATTCGCAACTGGTGGATGGTGCTAGTGCTGTCGTCTGTCCATTTAATAAACATTCCTTATTTCGTTTTCGTTCTCGTTTGTTATTTAAATCGCTCTATCGCGTAAAACTTGAAGAAAATGAACCGTCATCCGAATCCTGACAAAAATCGCAACGAGCCACAGGTGGAATTGGAGAGTCAATTTATTATGCGGCTACCACCGGTATGTTTCTCATATTGCTTATTTCATTAAATCTGAACTTAACCTAGTCCGAAATTATTTTGATGAATTAAGAATCAAGGATTATAAATCAATTTTGACATATTATATTGAATATCAATTCTCTTTTTAAGGAACCCTCTAGAGTACTGAAGGAGGCGTTACGTAATAGTTTGCCTTTAAAAGACAGACTGACTATAAAACTAGAGAATGATATGCGTTACGGTGAGGTTAGGCTTGATCACTGGTTACTCCATGCTAAGGTAAATTTTCCTTGTCTCACTATTCATTCTATATTACTGTGGAAAAATCGCTTACGAAAGTAGACTGATGTATTTGATAAACTTTCGCTTAGGTTGTGGACCTGCCAACAATAGTGGAATCCTTAAAAACCATCGATAACAAAAGTTTTTATAAGACTGCCGATATATGTCAGGTAAAACAAGAAGAATATCATAAATAATATAGGAAATAAAGAGTTTATATTACATTATTTTCTTGTAACGTTTCTTTAGATGCTAATATGTAAAGAAGAGGAAGATCACACTACCGATGAAGAGTCTCCTGTTAAACAAAAGAAAAAAGATCCAAACAAGGTGGATAAAAAATTTCTTTGGCCTCACGGTATAACTCCACCCACTAAAAACGTGAGACGTAGAAGATTTAGAAAAACTTTGAAGAAGAAATATGTAGAGGCGCCAGAGATTGAGAAGGAGGTTAAACGTTTATTGCGAGTGGACAATGATGCTGTTAATGTTAAGTGGGAGGTAATATGTGAGGATGAGGATACGTCGAAACCTAGTAAGGTGTCATCTTCTGGTACAGTTAAGACTAAACGAGAAAGCATAAATGGAAACACGTCTCAAAGTTTGGATGTTGGTGAGTGTTAACTTACAATCAATTAAGTTAACATTTATTCAGACTGCTTAGATAAATGTTAACTTAATTGACTATATGATATATATATATATATATATATATATATATATATATATATACATTGTACGAAATCGAAATTTGAATAGTCATAATTTTTTTAAATGATATGTTTCAATATTGAAACTAATTAAACAAACTTTTCATATTTATTTCTAATTTATAAAAGGAGAATTAGATGCTCTATTTTATGACTTACATATTTCAGCTGAACACGATATATTCGGCGAGCCAGTTAGCGACAGCGAAGACGACGATGAAGAAGCGAACATAAACGTGATGGAGCTAGATGAGAATAGCCGCCTTTCGGCGGACAGTAGAGTTTCGGACTCCAATTCGATGCAAGCCGCGTATTCTGAGAGATCAAGTAACAACGCGACAACGAGCAGTGGATTAGTTACAGAATTCAGTAAAGACATGTTCCACAACGACACCAATGGCGATCCGGAAGCCGAAAAACCACAGGGTGAGAATAGTCCATTAAAAGCTCCAAAATTAGAACAATTTCACTCGGAATATATTATTCCAGAATCACCCACATCGGTATCAGTTTCTAAAGGTAATTTTAAATAAGCGTTGTTTCTATTTATAAGATCGATACAAATTTTTAACTTATTTCAATTTAAAAACATCTAGATTCGCGTCTTGCTACTCTTCACGCGGAATTGGCGGAATTGCGGCAAAGAAGGCAGCAACAGGAAATCGAAATAGCTAATATCGAAAACGTCAAGTTGAGGCAACGGTTCCAGGAGATTTTAGATAATTTGTTGACTCAAGAAATACAGAAAGTACAAGAGGTAAAATGATATTACACATATATATTACATTTTATTTAACAACTATTTTGACTTACAAATATATATACATATATACAACTACATATTCCTTTTCAGATACAAGATCTAGAAATGGAATAGAAAATGTAGGACGAGTTTCACGCATTATATATATATAAAAAGAAATATATATATATATATA